TGGCTAATGCATTCAACATCAATAATGCTGCTTGCACTCACTTTGGGAGTTTGCTCTTTTTTGTAAAGGGGCACGGTATGCTATTTGTTCAGCTACATTTCATTATGAGGTGTTTTCGTCAGTAAAATACTTATTGTACTCTCTTTTCCTGTATCTTGCATAGACGGCTCAAGTTTTTGACTTACAAGAAGGAGAGGTTTCGGTCTCTTGGAATTTTCTTCTTTTAATCATTTTTGTACAGGTCACTGCCAAGGCATTGTGAGGGTCTGGAACAAAATTTATATAGCCAGGTCGTTATGGTCAGATTTGTAGCACAACCTATTGATTGTCTTCTTAGCTCAAGTATCCTGATGATCCTCTTGTTCTTCGACCTCAAGTCGGTGGAGATCTGCTGCGTCACCGTTCTTCTACCGGTCTCTGCAGGCCACGCAGCTTTATCCTCCGTCTGATGCTCATTTGCGTCATCTTGGCCACAATTTCTGGTTGCATCATTATTATCTTCACTCTACGTCACTCGAATGCCTGGCCATGGCACCGCCATACCTACCGTAGCATGTCTGCTGCTGGATTTTGCCGTGCACTCACACCTTTCCCTGGGCTGGATGTGGAGGAACGTTTTCTCTACGAGCCCAACGCCATCACAATCAGCCACGGTTCTGTTGCTGATTTTCCGTCCGTCCTCATTTTTCATCTGTTGCGCGACGCTATAACAGTGATGCGAACTCGAGGAACCTGTTACGTATATCCTCTCACCAGGGAAGTCTCTGACGCCGTACCTGTTGACGAAACTGTATTCGAACGCATCAAGGTGCATTTCCTATTTCTTCTTTACATTAGCAAAGGTTATGATGCTTTGTGATACTCGCATATTTTCTTTAAAATTCATAAAGTATGTTATTTGAATCATTCATGACGCATTACTCCGAAATGCGTGGTTTCAATACACTTTGGATTGCATTGACGTGGTGAGTTGGAGTGCTGAATTTCAATAACTTGAAATCTCCCTTCCGGTAGGTTAAAGGTGTCTTTTACCATTAAGCTTTCCGCTTTCATCGTATGTTTAGTCAGTGCTCGATTGCATTGTTTATCTAGTACAGAACTGTTTTGCAGTCTTCCAAAAACTGGCTTTGACCTAAACAGGTACTCATTGCTTCAGGTATTTATAATGGCTTAATCAGAGTCCAAATTTTAGTTGTTACCTTAGTAGTTGTGTTAACTGAATCGCCAGTGCTGTCTTATCGCATAAAATGGTGGTAGCCTTCGAGGGTTGCGAAAATTCCGCACTAAGCCAGATGTTTTTAACATGTTTTCTATGGGTCTGAGTTTGTTACATTTGGAACGGAAGACCACTTAATGTATTTTTAACTGCACCAACTACCTATTTTGGGACTCCTGTTTGCATGCAAACTTATGTCTCTTTTGGTTCCATGTTTAGGAACCGTGCGTTCTCGCCTACCAAATTAGCATTTTGCGCCTTTCCTGTTGAAATAATTGCAGTTTTCTATTACTATTTTTATTCTCTATGGAAATTCCAACTTTTTTGCGTTATTCACTACCAACGCTTTTACCATATTCTGATGGGTGTTGCTTACGTTGGAAAACTTTCAAACTGCATAAATTTCCCCGCCCTTTTGCACTCAGTTCTGTTGTGGTACACTCAGAACCTTATTGCTTTCTGGTTTAGCAACATTGCGCTTGGTACATCTTGTGTATTCGGATGTGTAGGCTACTGGGATCTCTTACCTGTGCTAGTACTCCAAATTATTATTCATTTTGATTGCCATTGGTATTTAGTCTTTAGTCTTCCCTTCACTCCCCTCACTTTACCGTCGATGTTTGTGTTTGTAGTCATCAAAAGGCGAGTTTTTAAACGGACGGAGAGCTCCAATATCATTTAACGGATGATGTGTACGTATTTCTCAATCAGTTGACGTATGGGGAGGGGCTTCGTCCAAT